TAGGCGGCCTTCGGCCGCGCTTATGGATTATAACCCTTACTAAATAGAATTCTCCTTTTTGTTGTCCGGAAAAGAAGGGCGGATGTATTTTTGCGCAGAACTTCTCTCTACGTAGGCGGCCCTCGGCCGCGTTTAGGGATTATAACCTTTACTATGTAGAATTCTCCTTTCTGTGTTGCCGGAAAAGGGGGCCGGAAGTATTTTTGCGCAGAACTTCTTTCTGCGTAGGCGGCCTTCGGCCGCGCTTAGGGATTATAACCCTTACTAAGTAGAATTCTCCTTTCTGTGTTGCCGGAAAAGAAGGGCGGAGGCTTTCAGCCGCGCTTAGGGATTGAAACCCTTACTAAGTAGAAGTAAATAGTTCATATTAGGAAAAACGAAGTTATCCATATGCACACTTTCGTTAGAAAACCGAAATAATGCATATAACAAAAACCGAAATAATGCATGCATGCACAATTTCGGTTCAAAACCGAAATAATGCATATGGCAAAAACCGAAATAAAGCATAAATGCACAGTTTCGGATGAAAACCGAAATAATGCATATGTGCAAGACGAAGGTATGCATATATGCACAGCTTCGGTTGAAACCCGAAATAATGCATATAACAAAAACCGAAATAATGCCTGCATGCACAGTTTCGGTTGAAAACCCAAATAATGCATATGAAAAACCCGAAGTAATGCATACATGCACAGTTTCGGATGAAAACCGAAATAATGCATATGAGAAAATACCGAAATTATGCATATGCATACTTTCGTTTTAAAAGCGAAATAATGCATATAAAAAAAAAAACGTAGTAATGCATACATGCACAATTTCGGTTGAAGACGGAAATAATGCATATGGCAAAAACCGAAATAAAGCATACATGCATAGTTTCGGTTGAAACCGAAATAATGTCTAAATGCACAGTTTCCATATGCGCAATTTCGGTGCCCCATTTTTCTGATGTATTTTCAAAAGTTACCGATATCGCTAAGGAATTGGATTTCAACATTGTCGTTCCTCGGAGAGCGAATAGACAAAAATTTCGAGCTAATTATCGTGCGTCTAACGCTGAAGATTATTATCTAAAGGCAACATTTATACCGCTATTGGATAATATTTTGCTCGATCTCCGAGAAAGATTGCCGAAAGAGACATTAAACATTTTTGATTTGAACTTATTACTTCCATCTACAATTTGGGAATATAATACGCATGACGAAAAAAATAATGCTGTCGAACGCGTTAAATCGATTGGAAAACGATACGAACTTTTCTTAGAAAAAGACGGTATCAATTTGGAAGGAGAGTATAAAGTGTGGTTGGACGATGGACAAATAAGGAAAGCGAAAAGCCATTCTCAAAATCAGCAGCAGAAGTTCTTGGTAAATGCGACGAATATGCTATTCCATTGATTAACAAACTTCTCCGCATTCTGGTCACACTTCCAGCTAGTAACGCTACTTCCGAAAGAAGTTTTTCTACCCTTCGCCGGTTAAAAACATGGTTGCGTAGTACCATGAATGAAGAAAGACTGATAGGGCTAGCACTTTAATACGTACACTTAGATATTGAAATTGACACTGAAAGGATAATAGAAAGATTTGCAAAAGGAAAGCGCAAAATTGAATTTGCAATTTAAATTATTACAATAAAAATTCTGAGCAAGTTGTTAAGTTACTTAATTACATGCTTCATTTTACCAACATTGTAGCAAGAAACAGGATTTGCAAAAGGAAAGCGCAAAATTGAATTTGCAATTTAAATTATTACAATAAAAATTCTGAGCAAGTTGTTAAGTTACTTAATTACATGCTTCATTTTACCAACATTGTAGCAAGAAACAGGATTTGCAAAAGGAAAGCGCAAAATTGAATTTGCAATTTAAATTATTACAATAAAAATTCTGAGTAAGTTGTTAAGTTACTTAATTACATGCTTCATTTTACCAACATTGTAGCAAGAAACAGGTATTTATATGTATATATTGCATTAATAAACCCAAGGTATAACTTTGCATCTTTTGTTTTTTTAAATAGTACATGCAATTGTCTTATAAGACCTTGCACCAAATTCACAAAATGAAAAGTATCTAATATTATATCACAAAACACTTTACTTCACACTTCATAAATAATACACGAACCTATATTTGCGTGAAAAATAAATTAGGGTCAGATGCCAGTAATTTAACGTTATTTGACAAGTTGATCCTGTATCCGCAACTGAGTTTTACATGCACTTTTGCACCGATTACGTTAATCTGCCGCGTCCTTATGCATTCGGTTTACATACATACGTACATATGTACATTAGGGAGGTCCAAAAATTTGTGAGAAAAAGTTAAGTCGGAATTTTTATGCTCTCACCCCCTAGGATTGTTCTATACCGAAAAAAAGTATACCCCTGTTTTTATACCCGAGCGCACTTGTGCACAAGGGTATTATAACTTTGTTCACATAACGGTTGTTTGTAACAGGCAAAACGAATCGAGATAGATATAGACAAATGTATACATAAATGATCAGAATGAAAAGAGAAATCGATTAAGCGGTGACTGTCTGTCCGTCCGTCCGTC